CACACACACACACACACACACACACACACACACACACACACACACGAGAATATCAGAGAGAGCTTACTTCGTTCATTGTAGCCGTGTCCCATTTGCAAACGGTGTGGATGTAGCAGTCACAGTGGAAAAATGGTCCAAATTAAAGACAAAAAAATGCCAGCGTGCAGACTGAAACCACTTGAATTTTTAGTGTGGCATTAATGGACATATTGTCCCACAATGCAATGCACAGTAGGAACTGAGGAACTACTCGGCTACTAAAAAGGTTGAACGAAATTTGGATGTTGCTGCGACAGCTTCAGGGACATCCCGCCCGGACAACAAAAACACTTATGACTGTGATCCGTTTCAGCTGGATCCGGACACAGTCGTCTTAATTCGAGACAAAAGGTCCTTGCAGGGTCGTATGCGGATACGGGAGCTAAAGATTTACGACATCGTACCAGAGTTTAGAACAAGCACTACTTGATCACCATTTCATTCTTTCCTCCTCATTTCTATTTGTATGTCTTTGAGCCCCCCCCGTGTCTGCAAATGTCTCTCTCTTCTGTCCCCGTTTTCACATTATGTTCCTCACAAACTCTACTCAGGCAGTGACCTCTGACTGTTGAGCTCTGTCACCACCTCGGGCTTTCATGTCCGATTCTCTCAGCAAGACTCAACAAAAAAGAAAAGCTTTCACTGCCCGCCTTCTGAAACACAGAAGCATCTTTCATCACAAGCGGGCAGATTCATCCACGTTCACTGTGCAGCCCTGCACTATTACCTTGAACTGAGTTTTTTTCTTTCCACTGGGCGTCCAAACCCTGAATAAACACCTCACGGTGCGTGTGTGTGTGCGTGTGTGTGTGCACACCACACACACACACACACACACACACACACACACACACACACACAGTCTACATTTCTCTTATGCATTTTATTGCGATGAAGTCACGTTTCACATGGCGTGGCCGGGGCCTTAATGACAGAGTGGGTGAGGAGGCCGCACCCCAAACATTTGGCTCTATTATACACCAGCCCACCACACCAACAACCAATAACTACATCTTAGTGGGTGGTGGAGGGTGGGGCTCAGTGGAGCACTGCCCAGTGAACCATGCACAGACACACAGAGAAACATCTGAATGAACTCACAACGAGCAAATGACATAACCAGATCTGACCAAAACATTTTGAAGTCATTTTTAGCCCTCGATCACAGTGAAAAAAGGGCAACATCTGGAATGACTTTCAGCCTCCGAATGGGGGGGTGGGGGCATTATGGGTTTGTCGGGTAACGAGGGAGTTTCAATGTTGTTCATGCTTTATAGAGTTAGAAATCCAGGTGTGACACGAGGGTGTCCGATGTTTCCTTTCTTGTGTTTTACAACCACGCTCCTATAAAAGCTAAATATAGATTTTGTGCTTCTTACCAGGCAGCGAGGATTACTAGAAGATGTTTGAGGATGAACAAATTGTACTTCCTAAGCTTGACAGCCAGGTTACATTCCAATATTTAGAAAGATGCGTTTGATTTCTTTATGACGCGGTCTTTAACCGTTACCTGTAGGAGTCCCTGTAGCTCATCGTGTCGTGGCCCGAGTCCTCCTGGTCCTCCTCGTTCACCTTGAAGCAGACCCTTTTAATGCCGCCTTGCTCCACTTTGTCCTGGTCGCAGCTGTCCTCGCAGGGGGCCAGAGAGGGTGGCTGGATGGTCTCGTAGGCCGGAGGCTCCCCACCCTCCCCCTGGAGTTGCGTGGGCTCGGTGATAGACGACAAGAGGCTAAAGCGGGGAAAAAAAACAGAGACCTTATTCAAAAATATGTAATAAAAAAAAAACGATTAAATAAAATATGGTTAATGATGCGTTACTCACAACACATCTTTTAGCACATATATAATATATTGTTTTGCATTTTTAAATAGTTTAAAATGTATCGATAGCTCAAGAAATATAAAGTATATTGAAATTAAATCGTTTGAATAATGTCCAGACACCATGATGCTTATATTTATATTGTAATACACTGGGCACAATCCAACAATATTCAGCCACATTGTCACACCCCTTCCTCGGCACAGACACACAATATGTGTCTCTTTCTATTGATGTTATCCTGGCCTCACTCCCTGTTCCTGTACTGGGCCCGGTACCATAAATATTTTGGGCCTGAAGAATGTTCCTTTTGTAAATCCTCAGATTTAAACAAGGCAAAAGGGCAGGCAGACAAAGAGAGGCTGACGAACAGCCTCGGGAGGCTGGCGTTGGGATAACAGCTACGAAAATAGTCCACTCACATCTAAACACCAGTGGGATGCCAATATTTGATAATAGCACCAGCAGAGCTAAAAGTATTGTCTGAATGGATACGAGTGAACACTTTTCTTTTAATTTGATAGATGACACTTGTTTTACAATATTAAAGTGAGGACCAAATCGTTCAGTTGCACAGAATTCATAGGAAACTGTAACACTTACACATCTATCTGAGCGACATACTGCCTCATCTCCCTTACAGCGACGTCCAGGCGGCTGTACAAGTGAATGTAGGCGTCCTGGGTCTCCGTGTCTTCCTGTGTGAGCAGGAAGCTCAACCCGCCTTCCCCGTGGATGCCGCTCCGCCGATTGTCCATCGACCCGTTGCCTCCATCCGAGCTCATCTCCCCGCTGCCGTCCGCCTCGTCCCCGTCCAGGCCAGAGCAGCTCCAGGAGGGAGCGCCCATGCTGGTCACACAGTGCTGGGTATGGGACATGGGGTTCAGTTGTGCTGCGGGACAGGACAGAGGGGGGAGTAAAGAGCATGTTTGCAGTGGGTGAAACAAACAGACTTCACTCTCTGACAATTACATCACGTTACCCCAGATGTTCAAAAACCATATGAGGTAACACTCCTGTCTTTGATGAAAAACAACTTCTTAAAGGGCACTCGTGCGACTGATATACACAGGACGCAAACTTGTTTACTTGGGTTGAATGCCAAACTTGGCTGCAATAACTTGAGACATCCCAAAACTGCAGACAGATCAAGTTCTTGCAGTGAACCCGGGGTGTGTACTATTAATACACACAACAGTACAATTAAACACAAAAGCTCTTATTCATTTCATGTACATTCCACACATTCCTTTAATATCCAGGGTATGGTGCTCGAAGAAAAGAAATTGCACCGCCTCAGGTAATAAGCCCGGTAAATTCATTATATTTGTGATTGCAATGCTGAAGACTAGCTCCTGCCTGTCACAAGAGAAAGCATCGCCTCCTTTACTTTTGGCTGGGTGAGGCGGCACAGAGGGGAACACCCCGCCGGTACAACTGCTAGTCAGATGTCTGACTTGCAGCTGGTGCTGAGAGGAAGGATCACGACGAGGCATTCCTGGAACGCTGACAGCGATGCCAACTCTACTGCCTTTTCATCTTTGCTGAGAGTAGAGTTCAGAAGCTAAAGACTCTTAATTAATATCATAAAGTCAGGCCATATAGACAGAAGACAGGCTACTTTTTTTTTTAATCTATGGATGGAGGATTTCTTAACATTTTGCCCTCTTCTTGAAATTATTCTTCACCGACATTCCATTCCATTTCCACTTAAATCCCTGGCTCTCTTTTACTCTCCGCCTTTGACCCCTGCAGCAGCAGCAGCAGCAGCAGCAGCATTGAGTGAATGGCACAAATTCCTACGCAGCCTCGAGGCACCATCTTTTCTGACATCACTCACTCACTTCTCATGTCAATAACAGGGGTACGGCCTGGGGCTAATGGAGTCTTAACAGCCTACCACTCATCTAATTCACTGTGGGAATTGTTGTTGAGCCCTCATGGCTACTGTGGGAGGCTGGGGTCCACATTACTTTCTCAGTGCTGCGGGCTTTAAGTGGTCATGGAGGGTAATTAGTCAAAAACGATCATTGGTGGGTTAAGCTGTGTTATCAGGGAGAGGATGGATCTGAGTGAAGCTTGGTTCAAGCAGTGGTTTTGTGACAGAGATTGCGCTAATATTCAAAACATATTGGATAGAGATGTGTGTGTGCGTGCCCCTCCCCCCTCTACCTTGGTCAGGATCCAGGCCAAACAGGGAGTTCTTGCGCCCAAAGCGGATGCTGAAAGCCCTGCCAGCCGAGGTAGTGCTCTTGGGGTAGGAGACCTGCATGAAGTTGACGTGGCAGTTGGTGGGAACAAAGTCCATGCAGCCCAGCGGGTGAGGGCGCACACCAGCCTGCCTGAAGGAGGGCCACGCCTTGTTCCTCAGCTCCAGGGCGAACTGGGTGGAAAAGGGGGACACGGGCTTAGTTTAGAGAAAGCAAAATGCACATGACTGGCAGCTCTAATATTTGTGTTTATGATGAAATGATTTTACTTTTTACCACCAATGTAAAACATTGTCACTGTAGCAGGAAATATTACATGACATTCATGGAATATTTTCAAATTTATCAGAGTACTCATTAGTTGAATTGAGTTCTTGGTGTTTTCAGTAACGAAAGCAGTAAAAAAAGCTTGTGTCTCACTAGTATTTTTGTCATGTTTTACAAGTGTATATGGAAGAGCTGTGAATAAAAGACCTTTGTGTTTTTAACTTAATACCAACGAGTAGGGGACGTTTCTGTGTGTAACAGCTGGATCTGACAGCCTGACGTCTATATGTTCGTACCTGCTTATAGCTGCTGATCCGCCGCCGGATACTCTCCAGCTTGGTGTCACAGATTTGCCTGAACTCGTACTGAGGCATGGTAACGACTCGGTCACTCTGGGAGATGAGCTGGCTGCAGTTACGAACAAAGAGGCTGTCATCGCCAGAGAATGCCTCCAGGATCTGTGGAGACAAGAGACATTGGTAAGGATGGATCACCCCTACAGTAAACGTTTATATCCAGAGTCCAAAATAACATTCCTAGCAGCAGCAAGTGTGTTTTTCATCCAACTAAACATTCAGCTTTCCATTACTAACAACCGAAACCACCAGTGAGGCCAAAAAGCCCTTTTTGTTGCTCGTTGTCTTGCAAGTTGAACAAATATCAGTGACCCGCAAACTGGTGAACGGCCAAGTTGGGATCTTCTATGATACACGAGATCTGATATTTTGGTAGCCGAGAACACACAAGTCATTTTAACAACTGTTACAAGAAGTTAAAAGTGGCATCAATCAACATTTAGCTACAAAGGAATGACAGCTTCCTCTCCTCAGTATCAGATTTTCAACTCACTCATTGATACTCGCTTCAGATAATCAAACTTCACCACATAATTTACCTTGGCAGTGAGGCTGAAGCAGCCCTTGGGCTGCACCATCTTCTCCAGGACGTGGCTCTTGATGCCGGCAGGGCTGACGTATTCATAGACGACGCCGTGCTCCAGGTGGACGTTATCTACCGTCATGCTGACCAGCGGCAGCTCGTCGGAGAGGGTGAGTCTGGCCAGCCGGTGGTCTGTGGAGCAGCACATTTTCACTTGTTGTCAGTATGTAAACTCTGCATGCATTCAGAAGGGATTCAAGTTATTTAGGAAAAGCACTTATATACAAAATGAAAAATGTATTTGCCGTTAAAAAATAAATAAAAGACCAGCATTGTGAATAAAAAAAGAGGCAGAGTCATGGCCTAAAAGTGATGCAAAAAAAACATGCTGGTGTAACAAAACCTCCAACGCTTTGGAAAGACAAACATATTATGTTTTAAATCCATTTAGTAATGACGCATGTAAAGGTACACAATGTGGTGCACATCTGTCAATGTACTTACTCTGCCAGCACTGGAAGAAAAATTGGTCACTTATTGTATCTACACTGACACAGTGTGACCAGATGATGTCCTACAACTGTAACTACAGCCTTTAAGTAGCGTGTGTAACTCCCACTGGAGACACTTTTTACTGATCGAATTCAGAGGTCATCTGAAAATAGCATTTTAGGTGGAACATAATGTTCTGATGCAATGTTTTTGATGGCATCCTGCAATCAATCTACACAGACACACAAAGCAGCCAGTTTATATTAAAGCACATTCGAAGTAACACTGTTCCAATCCCTTTTACAGACTGAAAAAAAACACTTGCTGCTCATAATTGTTCGCATCACTGCTGTGGGTAAAAAAATATACAATTAACAGGATTGTGATACTTGAATGATTCAGCATCGACTCCTTAATCGGATATTTAAAATAAAAACAGAACATTGTGTTTCACCTGCTCCGTTGGTGCCGTTCTCCTCCTCGCGGTCCGAACCGTTCTCCGCTGGATAAGGACTGAAAGGACTCTCCACCTTCTCGCCTGCACCCCTTTCTCTTTGCAGCTCCTCCACATCCTCGAATGCACGATACACCCACTGACACTGGGGGGGGGAACATGATATTACATGGTATTACTATAACGTGCAAAAAGAAAAGGTGACGTATAGGTAAGATAAAGGGAGAGAGCATGAAAGAAAAATAATGAGATTGTATTTGGCAATGCTTAAGTACCAGTATGTGCATTTACATATAAAGCTGTAGATGTGAGTGTATTTTACACACAGAATTTGAAGGCAAGAATCTGAAGTATTTTTACATGGCCTGTGGACATGGACACTTTTCAGCTGACAAGGTAATCATGGTTGATTGCACCGCCAAAAAAAAAATCAGCAGTGCAGTTAGCCACATCAACTACATCTAATGTATCCTGCTGTTCAATGAACCAACAAACAGTTACTGGAACGAGTCCCAAACAAGGCTGCTCAGCTGAGCCTGTGGGCCAGGCTAAAGAAAACAAAACTCTGTGCTTTATACAGAGAGGACATCCTACACTGACGGCAGCCCTGTGAAATACCCGCCTGGAGCCACAGATTGCTGCTGTAGGAATGTCCCAACACCCAGACACGGGGTTTGCTGTTTGACAGTTGGTGCGTAAACCACTTGTGGCTCTAAAAAACAAAAAACAGAATTCAGCCAAAAGAATCTCGTTAGCAGGAGTGGATGAAGGTTCAGTGGAAATAGGTTGTTTGTTTGTTGCTCTGGGCTACCTTTTCTCTCCGGGCATTGTATCTCGAGCTGAAAAATGTTCAACCCTCACTACAAGTGGCCTACAGCGACAACGTGTCAGCCAGTGATTTATGTTTGAGATCACTACGCCACCCACTGCTGGAACGCTGATGAAATAAATGAGCGTATAGTGTAGCGTCACTTTGGTATCACACAGAGATGAAGATTAGAAATGAATCCTTGTTCTTTCTTTCTTTCTTTTTTTTTTAACAAACACACATTGTAGCTCTAACTAAAACTAATGCTGTTTTATGTACCGTCTCAGAGCAGGAATATCTGGGTCGCTGCTGCTTTCCAGTCTGTTAGCTCGTCAAACGTGAATTTAGTGTGCTTGTCCCGCGTTGTTGAATGACCTGGTTAATTTACTTTCAAACCCACAACTGACAAGACTGTATTTCTTCTCAAACACACTCAATAAATGCCCAGCTACGAAGCTCCAAACCCTGCTCCGATGAAGAAAAGATTGGCTGTCACGCTTTGTTTTCATGCGTGTCCTCACCGCTTGGGGAGGCTCCTGGTGTGTGTGCTGCGCGGCGAAGTGCTCCAGGGCCTCTTGGTAGTCGCTGTGGTTGACGTTGTTTCCGTTGACCTTCAGGACTACCTGGCCGGGCTGAAGACCCGACCCCGCTGCCTCCCAGCCTGCAGTGTCAAAACAGGATCAGAGGTCGAAGGTCACAAGGTCATGTAAGCACAGTGGAACTGTACACAACACATGGGGCTATTGTGAAAACATGTAACTTAAGTCAGTAAAAAGGAGGAGTTCAAAGTGCCGTTCGTGTGTTTCCCGTATCTAGGAACAAAACATCTTCTCCAAAATATTAAATCTAGTTCACTTTATATGGAATCTGGTTTTAGCCCCAATTCCCACATGAGCACATAAGCGTGCATGTTTTGTTCCTCTGGGAAAATAGGAAATTACTCAGTTCAATGCCTTAACACGCTGTCCCAAGCTGCTAATGGCTCAGCAGCCTGGAAGTCCAATCAACACCTCCATCGTCTTCCACTCCGACCTAAAAATACTTGCGCTGGCATCGCGCCCACCCAGCACGCCAACAATTACCCAACTCTGGGGCTACTTGACCCCATGCATGGATATCACACAGGGGGACTGATTTAGGAACTTATTTGGCAGAGAGGCCACAAGTGATACAAGACACTGGGAAAGAGAGGAGAGGAGAAACAGTGTGGGGAGTGGGGAATGGGGGAGAACTGAGGGCGAGAGGAAGCGGAGAAGTCCCCCTTACATAATAAAGCAAAGTAAAACCATGAGGTCGCATTCCATGGATGCGCCGAGCGGCTCCTCTCCTCGCTGTGTTTGTGTGTGGGTGTGTCCTCTCTTGCTCCTGTCTGATTTACACATCTGGATTAATCCCTCATTCAACTTGTCGTGAATCACTCATGTTTCTATTACGAGTAGGTGGTGAAAACCAGATGTTTTCACCACCTACCGACAAAGCGGGAGGAATGAGAAGGGAGAACAAACGTGTGGGGTAGCTCTTCAGTTACCCATTACTCTTTTAGCTCTAATCATAGAGCAGTGTGTGTGTGTGTGTGTGTCTTAAAAGTAGAGTCTATTAGGGGTTTGAATCCTGTCAGCAGCCCATCTGGCTAACAGGTGGCCATAAAAACCTAATGGAGGCTCACTAAAAGCAGAAAGTAACAGGTGGTTGGAGGCTAGAGTTACCTCATCTTTCCCCTCAAATTCACCCAGAACTACTTGTCTTTCTGACACCAAAGGACTGCAATAACAAGGTCAAGCTCCTACAAGTCTGTTCACTGTATAGTGTTTATCGTGTCCTTTCTTGTGAGCTGAGCAAACAAGCACCATAACTAATAATGAGGACATTTAGTTTGGGAGATAAGAAAGGAACATCTTCTTTATTATTTGTATTATTAAATGTTAAGTAGTATGTCCTTATCCTGCTTGTTATTCTCATTTGTCAAATGAAGTCACTCACCTTTCCTGACAGCGTGGACATGAGGAGGGGCAGAGCCACAGAGTCTGAAGGACAGGCTGTCTGGGTTGTCAGGGATCTTCACAATCCTGGGTGAGAAAAGACCAGTCAGACCAGTGAGCCCTGTGTGAGTGTTTGTGTGTGTGTGTGTCTTTTGAGCGAGTGTGCGCTTCCTCACTCCTTGGCCTTGGTGGCGACCAGCAGCCGCAGGGAGCGTCGTATGTAGAAAGCCTGGCTGATCATGGTCTCCACCTCGGAGATGGGCCTGAGGAACAGCAGGTCCTCGTTGATGGTGAAGATCTTCCTGCCCACCTGCAGGCCAGCCATCTGGATGGACAGACGCACAGAAAGGACACACAATGGTGGTTATTTTTAGACTACAGCTTGTTTCCAGCTCCCTCTAAAGCCCCCTCCCTCCCCTTTGCACAGCAAGAGCTTCAGGTGGGCAACAATTCTCTCCAGTGTCACAGTGACACCAAAACCGTGTGCAGCATTAAGCTCAGATAGAGTATCATCCAAGTTTTTACCTCACTGAACCCAGAAACAAGTCCAAGTTTGGTACATGTGCCTCCAAGGAGCACGGCAGGACACAAACCAAAACATAAGAGAGAAAATCAGCGTGCTCAATATTTCCACAGCCTGTTCAGTCTTGTCATGTATTTTCCAGCATATGAACAGGCTTTTTTATATGGAGGGAGTGCATTTACAGATTGGCTACTAGATATGATTACGGTGCATGATATTTACACCTTAGTCTCCTGCCTGCTGCCAGTTGGATTTGCACACAATTGCAGCTTCTGAAACCCCTATTTTTAAATGACAGACACAGTGACACAGCCTGCTGCACGTCATCACATGCAGTCATCTTGCACATCTTCAGTCACGTTGGGAGAAGAATGCTGCCTCTGTGTGTTCGTGCTGTGAGTCCAGTGTCCTGGGTACAGATCCGGTGGGGCCTTGGCTGAGCCGGGCACCCACCCCCCTGACTATGGGCCCAGGGTGGCTGTAGGAACAACTGGGAGGAGCCACATAATGTGTAATGGTGTGTGTGTGTGCGTGCGCGCGTGCGCGCGCGCGCGAGTACACAGCATGGGTGCCTGTCTACACGTGATTTGCTGGAACAGCATCATATAGTGAAAGAGCTCTGTATGTGTCCGTCAGCCCTTTTCAGAGCCCCCATGGGAATCAGCTGAGCTTCATTCAAGGTGCTGGCACACGGGGCCGTGTCACAACTAGCAATCCTGTTATTGTGGGGGAACGAGGGAGACTGGGGATGAATAACAGAGTAAGAGGGGGGAGAGAGGCAGAGGAGAATGATTGTCCAGAGAATGACTTAAGGGGAGGAGCAATGTGGGAAAGAAATGCAATGAGTAAAATAACAGAAAGGGATGAGGAAACTTGAACCGCAAGACCAGGGACACAAGATTATGGTAAATTAAAATAGTGCAGGGCAAGTAAAGTAAAGGCTTTCCACATCCCCGGACCTGTGGGAAAGGAAGATTCCACAAACAGCCAGGGCATCGTCCTGCATTTTCAAGCAGGAAGATGCCGTTGGGTAAACGGTACAAAGGTTTGGTTGCTGGTCGGATTTGCTCCTGAACAAAAGCAGTTGTCTGTCATGCAGCCAAGGTGAAATCACAGGAAAAGATATAAAAGTCTGTCGCTGCTGACAGAGTAACCACAGATATGACAAATCCCATTTTTACAGGCTGCCCCTGAACATAATAATACTAAAACATAATCATGCCGGTTTTAAATGCTTCATCTGCATTTTAAAAAATCGCTACGGATGGATAAAGTGGTGTGTGTGTGTTTTGTGGAGGGGATGCGGGTGAGCATATCCAATGGCTCTACAGCCAATCAGAATGAACTCCTTCCAAAGCGAAACAGAGGAAGATTGACAGCAGCCGTCAAAACAGTAGACAGCCATTACCTACTAGAACTCATGCCCCGGGGCAGGAAGGAGATGCAGCGTGTTTGAGTGAGTGAGTGTGTGTGTGTGTGTGTGTGTTGGCCATTACCTCAGCATGTGAGCCCCTGGTGACAGATTTCACCACAATGGCCTTGTTTTTCTCCTCGATCTCAAAGCCGTAGTCTTCTTCCTCGGGGTGAATCTAGCGCAGAGCAAATCACCTAATTACTGACACATTTACACGGTTGACTGGTTGTTGGACTTAAAACGTCTTTCACTGGTTCAGCATCACGAGTGAGCAAGTGGCAAAATAATTGTCATGACACAGTATATATTCATATTCATTGCCTCTCTGTGATTTGCTGCTATTTGTCACATCCTGTCTTGTCGTTCGCACTCCTCGTACATCTGACATCTGTTGCTGAAATGACCCAATTTCTTCTGAGGACTCACTGAAGCTTCTTGCTATACGGTGACACCTCTAATACACAAACTATCCGGACATTATCACAGTTTGGAATCCTGCAGGTTTCCAATCTGTGATTTGCGTTGCGTGTCAGGTGGTCTTGCTCCTGATGGTGTTCTCTGCTTGCCTCTCACATTCTATTCCCCAGGGGGGCGAGGCTTAGTTGTACGCCGTCATCACCGAACACATTAGCCCGCTTCCATTAGGTAAGCTGCCGGGGCCATCTTCCTGCTGCACGGCCCTGATAAGATGGGGATCTCTGCAGTTTCATCAGAGGAGATGGCTGTGATAAATAAAGAGTTCCTGCACTTCACTGCAATAATAGCCGGGAGGGGAGGATTAGCTCTGCTAATCAACGGGGGAAAAAAAGCCTCTTCCACTTCTTGTGGAAGGCCAGATAGCGAGCCTACTTCCCAATGTGATATGAAAAGGGATGCTAGTGATGCTTCTAGGTTTCCCCAATGATAATGGACTTAAATAAACACTTCACTTTCTGTTTCTGCCTCTGGAAACCACAGTCCGCTGGACCCAAAACAGTGTACATTGACCTTATTCTATGACGAATAAATATACATCAGTTATATTCTGCTGTATGCTGTGTGTCCTATTGCACAAATTATATTGACAAAGGGACATTCAGCTTTTGTGCTTTTACTGTAGAAAGGTTAATACCAATAAAAATCCTTACCCAGCCCATGACTACGTGTGCTGCACCTTAAGTTTCAGGAGCTTTAATACAGTGAGCAGACATGTTCTACTTTCTCCTTCACTGAATCCATTACGTGGAACCTGACCTAAGGATGTCCATGTAACCATTCTGCACCTTTGTTCCATGCATCATGTTTGGCGCATTTTTTGGGTCTCATCATGCACGGAACTTAACTTTCAGAAACTTCAAAAAAGGTTCCCACAATTATGCTGTTTTATTAACAAAAACGTATTATAGTAGAAGCTTCTACATGTTGCAAATATCTTCTCTACCTAACAGGGCAGCACGACAGATGTTTTCCACTCTGCACTAATTTGAGTTGTCTTTTTCATGCCAAAGTAAACGGTGCTGAAACATCTCAATTTGGATTTTTGTCCCTTTGGGGGGTTTTCCTCTTCACTCTATTCTCCCAGCACCTGTTGCGTCATGTCATGAGTGAGGGTTGTTAAATGCGTTTGTATCTGCTGCATTTAAATTATAATTCGGCTCTGCTCTGTTAGATAAAGGAACTGAGCAGCCTGTTGGTAAAATATATATATTGGTATCACAGACTCGAATGAAATGAAAGGTCATAAGCCCTGACTAGCAAGCCATTTTAAATGTTTCATTTTAATCAGAATAATAAATGAAGAGGGGTTAAATCGTGGGCTCACTAGCACTTCCTAGGCCGTGTTTCACATCCGTGCACTAAAATGAAATCTTCAAAGGAAGACGAGTGTTCTGTGATTCTGACAGCAAGAATCAGGTGCTGTCGCCTCTCGTTAATAGTCTCGACAGTTTAATCTCTTGCCTCCGCAGCAACACAAAAGGGACCTCGTCCCAGGCAGCACAAGTGATTTCCACAGGACAACACTCATTAGGATGCATGCGGATCAGAGCAAATTCAAAAGGTGTTTGTCATCAAAGCAGCCCCTGCTCCCGTGGGGACGGGGGTAATTACATCTAGCTGTGGAGATTGGAGAGAAGAACGCACACGCGCACAGCTCCAAACAAACTGGAGTGAAGCCTAAAGCAGATGCTAGTTCAATTAGCGATACAGTACAATGCGGTCCTGTTATATCTTCTGTGTACACACACGTACAGTATCCTGCACGTGTGTGACGCGTATCCAGATGAATGTGGATAGAATCTTTTGTTTTTGAATCCATCTGCATTGATCGATTGTTTCCCATTCCGAACAGTTATTTATTTATTTTTTTTCAAAAGGAAACAAAAATGTACATGCGCGTGCGTGCGTGTGCGCGCGTGTGTGTGTGTGTGTGTGTGTGTGTGTGTGTGTGTGTGTGTGTGTGCGTGTATGTTCCAGCTCACCACCAGGGACTTGGCCAAGATGTTTTCGATGAGTTTGAAGTCATTGCGCTGAAGCTGCTTGCTCTTGGTGCTGGTTCCCTCCATCTCCTCGTCCGCATAGAAACGGAAGAACTGGGACTCGTCTTTGAACTCGCTCTTCTCCAAGACTGAGGAGGGAAAACACACACAGCGTGTGATCAGAGAGCCGCTACCTGAAATTCTGAATAGCAATGGGTTACATCTCAGTTAAAAGTTGCAGGAAAAAGGAAGTAAAGCTGTACTAATGAAAGGCCAAACAAATGCATTTTAGCATAAGCTTTAGCCATCCATTGATGCGTGTCCGTTAAAAATCTTAAGTGCGTTTGTGCTCAAACTGACTAAATTGATGGTCTCGTTGCTAAAATGGACTTGTAAATGTCAAGTGTGTTACATGATGGCACTAACGCTGTCTGCACGTCATTTGAAACCTCAAAGTGTTTGCCCGTAAAACCGCCACTTCATTGTGCGGTAATCTTCAGACAGACTAGCAAAACGGTTAATTAGCTCATTAGCTAATGATGCTAGCAGGAACATCTGGAGCCAAGCCACATCTGGGTCGTAGCCAGCTCAGGCCGGGCATAGGAAGGCTCCCTCTGGAGGACACAAGGAACAGTGTGCCGCGTGTGTCTGAGTGGGTTTAGAAGTCCCACTGTTGGGCCGAGCACCACTCCAACACATGGGGCTCATCTAGTGTGGGCGCTTGAACCAAAACACACTGCATTAAACCTACTGTAGATTCCTTAAAATCTTTCTCGGTTAAGAAGCTACGCCGCTGAAATGAGGCCCTCAGTTACACTATGTGAGAATTTATTGTGCTCAAGAACAGTTTTCTTGCATGAAAGATGCCTTTTTTTAGAATTTCAACCTCAATTTTGTTACTTTCATTACTTTCACACCGACTGAATAATTCTCCCCTGTCAGTTTTCATTTGCTGAACATTGCCACTGCTGCAACAGGTGCAAGCGGGCCTATAATGACAGTGAGTGGTCACATTTGGACCAAAGCCATGATGTGGGAGGCAGGTTTTATTGTGTTGGACAGAACTGAGAAAATATTTATCTTGTTTGTGTCATACAAGCCCAAATCTCCTGACATTAGGTGTATGAATCTGTAACATGGGGCTTGAGAGCTCAAGGTACCCAGCTGTTCAGAGATTTGGCGAGCATCTGGCACCCTCAGGTGAACAAAAGCAAACTGATTACACACGCACACACACACTCGCGCTGGCCTTATGCCAACTCAAACAAAGCCGTGATTTATTTCCTCTGAGTCACGGAGGCTGTGGTCACACAATACCTGAACACTATCTATTCAACTAGAGGGAGTGCTACTCCGGAAGCTGGCATACCCTAATCTGACACACACACACACACACACACACACACACACACACACACACACACA